CAGCTCATTTACACACTTTTCCTGAAGATAGAAGCGTTTGTTGAATCTGACGTGACATGTTCGTACGAACCCTTTGTACGAACAAAAGTAAGAGAAATTTAGGATAAGAATACGAACATGTTATTGCATGAGTCCCATTGAGAATAAAGATTTTTTTCTCTCTCATTTAGTGGCAAAACATTCCAACTTGGCCGACGTGGCCTTGGCAGGACTCGCCAGCAAGGAGAACTTTCGCAAGGTCAACCTGCGCAGCGTGAAATCCACAGAAGTTGTGACCAACAACAGCGCACTGCCTTTTAATAAACTCATGCTGATTCGCATTAAAGGTAAGAAAAGTTTCTGTGTTTGGAATAAAGCTTGGAAAATAAAACACATAAAGGTCCAAAGAAAGCCTTGAGACTGAATAAATACAGGTTTTTATAGTTATGATTATTGTCCCCGTTTGCTGTCTGCAGGTCGTAGACACGTCCAGGTGCGCTTGGTGGAGCCGACGGCTCACTCCCTGAACAGCGGCGACTGTTTTCTTCTCCTCACACCGAAGCAGTGTTTCATGTGGAGCGGAGAGTTCGCAAACGTCATCGAAAAAGCTAAGGTAGAAAGTTTTCCTGACAGAAATGAGAGCCTCATATTTTGACTTGGCAAAGGGGACTTTTCAGAACACAGCATGTTTAGACAGGTACTAGTCTGTTACGAGGAATCGTTTTGAAAAAAACAAAACAAGCTCCCTCTGTGTGAAAACATGTTGGGTTCTTAAGCAACGTTTATTACAAAACTCTGAATTTAGATATTAGTGTGGCAGGGTTGTTTTTTTTTTTTTTTTTTTTTTTTTGGAAGCCTCAGTTGTTACATTTGATCTATCCATGATGTGGAGTTAAAGTGCCTTTGAGTGAAAGGCTAAACCCCATGTTGCTCCTGACGGRACGCACAATTCATGACATGACAGCTCTGGTTTTCATCTGCTGCAGAGTGAGCGTGTTTTGTAGAAGAGGGACAACGTTACAAAACGCTTGAGGTCTGAGCAGGATTCTTTGAAATTATCCTTCTATTTGACCACAAACAGAACAAGCTTGTCAYTGAAAACAAAAGAAAATGTTTGCATAAAGTGAGACAGATGGAGAAAAGTGACAAGACGATTGTTTATCAGATTTACATCACAAATCAGATTATAAAGAATTACGGTTGAAAGTAACTTGCTATTAGGTCACTAACAAATGAGCTTCATTCATTTGAGTTTGCGGTACARTAGAGGGAACAAGGACTTCCTAAAAGTAACATTAAACAAAATTAAATAACCTTCCATCAATCATTATTAGATATTTTTTAATAAGATGCATGAAAACAAAACAGTTTAGTCTAGTAAAAAAAAAAGCTAGCGAATGGACATGTTTTGTTTCTCATGCCACCATTTCAGCCAAATGTTGTTCTCCTTCAAGCTGCAGACATCTGTAAATGTTTAAACTGACTCTGCAGAACGTGAAGATGACGACAGCCAGACGATCACACAGCTCATCAGTCAGCCACAAGGATAGATCCTCTCTGACTGAGCAAAGCTGTATGGTTGAAGGAACTCCAACATTTGTTTGTCTTTTAGTTTAATTTCAGATAGTTGTGCTGCAGTGGCACTGATGTGCAGAAGTGCTTTTGTTTCACATTAATGAGTAAAAAGACAGTTTACGAGCATAATCATGAACAGAAAACAGCACACAGGAGTTGTATGTTGAACGTTACATTTTTGTGTTGATTTACAAAATCGGAAATAGTAACACTTGCTTAGCTGGGGAAAATACTTTTTTTTTCAAAAATATCGTGTATTGCTGAAGAAGCTACAACTGAGTTGATAAAACAGAAAGTAGGATAAAACGAGCAGAATAAAAACCAATAGCCACATTATAATAGCAAAAATAAGTAAAGCAGATGATAAAAATCAAATGAGCAAATCAATAATTAAAGTTGTGAAACCGATGCTTAAGTTAGCAAAACAAATGCTAAAGCTAAAATTGAAAATATGTCACTAAAATTAGCATAACAGTAGCTAGAATTGCAAATCAATAACTAAAGATGGTGAAATAAATTAATGCTAGCAAAACAGATGCTAAAGCTAAGAATACAAAAACAGTAGCTGAAATTGGTAAAACTGTAACTAAAAGCTAAAAGTAGCAGAGCATCAGCTGAAAGCTAAACGTACTATAAGTAGCAATCAATTCAAATCAATTTAAATACTTTGAAATTAAAAAGAACAAAAGTTACAAAAAAAAAGCAGAATCCAAAATTTAATGTTCTGCTAAATGTTGGAATGAAATATCACAGTCATAAGTTTGTGAAAAAATTATACTCAGGAAAATAATAGAGTGAATGCTGACTCAGCGTTTTTCTATGTATCCCCATTCCCCCCCAGGACCTTTAATAGATAACACGTTATCTGTGTGGTTACTTCTCATCTTGTAACTGCCTGCTTGGGTGTGAAATAAAGTGCATTTCGATAAAGCAACCCTGTTATGGAGACTTAATGTAAATTGTGTCCAAATCCAACAGAAGTCCAACGTAGACCTGGCCCCAAAGAGGAAGCTATCAGATAGGATGAAGAGCCTGCAGGAGAAGGAGGAGCAGTGGAAGAACAAAGGCAAAGGAGCAGCCAACGACTCGGTCCAGTTCACCGTGGCTGGACGAATGGCCAAGAAAGGTGCGTTCTTAGCTGCGTCAGATTTGACCACTGAAAATGAAAAGTGAAGGGATGTTTTCGAGAGGTTTATTAATACAAAGCTTACTGGGCTACTCGTAGGAGCTCCATGCTGCCAGTAGATCGCCACCATTGTAGAACCAAGATGGATAAAACTCCTTTGTGCTCTTTCAGGTCTCGTCTCAACCACAGCAAAGGACGAGTCACCTCTTGCCTCTATGAAGAAGTCCAACGCCACACCTGTGAAACCTCTCGAGGGTAACTTCTCCGAGTCATAAACTAAACTAAAACTAATTTCTAGAGCTGTGTAAGTTCTCAAAACAACAATGAGCCATCACTGAGTGAATGTAATTTTCTTGTGCAGAAATCTCCAGCAGAAGTGACGTCAAAGTGGAAGGAGATAAACGTCTCGACAAGCTGGAGTCCTTCTTAGACAAGCTTCACAATAAAGGTTCATTTGTTCATCTCTGAATGCATTTAAACATCTGATAACCCTTCTACAATGTCAGACTATTCAGTAAGGTTTCTATATGGGATTTATTATACCATGACAGTTTCACTGTGCTAAATGCACAGTTTTACCAACTTAACACCTTTTATTAAGACAAGAAATCTGTCTGATTCTTCCTTTCCCAATCTTTGTTTCCTGATGTGTGTGTGTTTGTTGGGATTTGAACCCAGGCGTGAGCAAAAACAAGACCTCCACCATCGAGGTGACGGCAGAGATGGAAAAGGAGGTGATGAAGCCGGATGATGAGGAGACGTTCGGTAACTTCTACAGAGCCGTTTCCCCCTCTAAGCTCCTAGAGTCCAGTGTGGTTTTAACTGAGGAGGACCTCACTGAGCTTGAGGCCGACACAACAAAGTTAGTTCATACAAATCCTACATCTTTATTCRTTTCGTAATAAGAAGAAAATATCACTGATGTGTTTTAATGTTGCCTTCAGGCTCACCTCGGCTGTAGCTGAGCACAAGCGAGCGGTGCGACCAGCCCGAAGGAATCAGGGCTCCAGGAACCCTCTGCGGGCTCTTGCTGCCCGCAACGACATCCGGCAAGGTTACACGGAACAAAGGCTCAACGTGGCCTCAGTGGAGACCAAGAGGATCCAAGTGGAGAGGAGTAAGTTTTATTTTTTTATTTTTTGTATTTTTTTTCAGCTTACCCACAGAACAAACCTAAACAATTATTCTAAAATATAAAGATCATCAAATTTCCTTCATAAAGTCAAATGTAAAATCTGTACAACAGTAACATTCAATTTTCAGTTATTGAAAGTGTTTTATTTATTTATTTATTTATTTATTTATTTATTGCAGTATCTGTCAAATTCTGTTGGTTGCGTGCATATTTTTTAAGCTCATTTCCTCTGCTTAGACCACAATGATCTTGGTGACCCTGTACTATTCCCATCAGAGGAAGTGGGCACGGTTACTTACTGTATGTGTTGTTTAGTAGAGTTCACATGAAAGGTATAATCAGAAAGTTTGTATATTCACTAAAAAAATATTAATATCACTTAATTTATAAATAACCTGTCAGATAAAGACACAAGATAATGAAAGGGCTAGTCGGTTAAACTGAGACTGACTTAGACAGATTGGGCCTCATGCAAGAACCGTTCGTACGCACAGATTTGTTCTTAAGTTGTACGTACGAGTGATTTAGGAGAATTTGTGGCATTCACCAATGTTTTCGTATTCTAAGATTTTTTTCAGATA